AAATCATATATTGTTTTCAACTTTATTTTAGGTACTGTTATATCATTGTAGCAAATGGTGAAACTAAACAGTGAAACTAAGAGTTAAATTGTTTTATTTTTTAATAATTGGCAGGCAGCCACTAACATAATATTCTTTTCTGATTTGTCTCAATTTATTTTGTGATGGACAAAACAAAAAACAATAGTTTGAGCAGGAAAAAACCATGTATATTTTTAAGTAAAATCAATACTCATGCAACTATAGTGTATTGACAATTTTTTATATATATATATTTTGGGGCACTTGACTATTTAGCTGATGTGTGAAAACACTATCCATGCTCAAATAGACATGTATTACTTTTTAAAATTCTGCTTTATCAAATAGTCTCACAAAATAAAATCCTCTTAATGATTAAAATAGTTAACCCTGTACTCTATTAAACTTCAAATCATGTCTTTCCCATTTTATTTTGTAAGTAGCTCACAATTGGTGGTGATCTGGACTAAATCTCCATCAGTGTTAGCTCATTATGGATTACCTTAAGAACTCTGATATATTTCAAACTCTGCCAGACATGAAGTAGCTGCAGAAACTACATACATTTCGGTTTTCACAAAAACATATTCAAGGTTTTATAAATTATGTAATTGTGTAATACAATGGGTATGAAAAGCTGGATATAATTTTCTTTATACAGTATAACATTGCTAATGATTGTAAAACATAAAAAACGTAGTGCAATATTTTTAAATATGTTGAATGGGGAGGTGAAATAGTTGTTTGATAAGGAAAACAAAAATCTTATCTGGCATTAATTACAATAAACACTGACTCTTGAGGAAAAGCTGTAATACTACATTCTTAATGTAATCTTTGCTTTCCTGTAAATAGCTGAAAATAAAGAATACCACCGAAAATGAGAATATATTTGACTTAGTGATATGTAGCTAGGTGGCAGCTACACATTTACAGAAAATCTGCCTGATATGATTTTGTTGGCTATGATTTTATCATGAGAACAAGCTTTAATAAAACAGTTTTACTAAATCAGTTACCTCTTTGCACTGTTAAACTACTGCAATGCAGTATTTTAAAAATATTACTATATAAGGTATGATAATTTAGCACAATATCTTTGGGGGGAGAATACATGTTTATAGAAAAGTAAAATTACTGATTGCTGTATTGTCCTTTAATGTATTCTATTTAGGATATGCATTTTTATTATACTCAGCACAATTTAAAAAACAGGGAAGCTTTTAAAAAACATTGAGCTAAATAAATTCATGACGTAACTATCAAGGTTTGCAGAGTGCCTAGAATAGCAGGGCTCATGTGGATTAAGACTTCTGGGCACTGTACAAAAAATACTACTGCTAATAATGATAACTATCAATTAATTACAGCAGGGAACAGTCTGACTCATTCTGTTAATCTATCCTACATTTTTCTTGTGCTTTATTTTTTTATCTTCTAACATTTTTTCTTGAAAATGGGATCCTTGCAATTTAACAACTCATTTTATCTGTTTCTCCTGCTAATTCCCATTTGTATTCCCTTGAAATATGTACTTTGATGTTTATAACTACTGGAGGAGGATGTATAGCAAAGCACAAACTGCTAAGCTGCACATACTTTCAAGGGAACTAGGGATAGAAAAAAAACACTGAGGGCATGACACTGGGGAGTTATTTTGAAATAACAGGATGAGCATCCACACTACCAAACCCATTATTTCAGAATTACTCCTAATTATGAAAAGGAATGAGCTTATTTCAAAGTAAATTACTTACGGTATGTCTACACTGCCACCCTAGTTCGAACTAGGGTGGCTAATGTAGGCATTTGAAGTTATAAATGAAGCCCGGGATTTAAATATTCCGGGCTTCATTTGCATCTTGCCGGGCGCCGCCATTTTTAAATCCCCATTAATGCGGACTCCGTGCCCGCGGCTACACACAGCACGGAGTAGGTAGTTCGAATTAGGCTCTCTAATTTGAACTACCGTTACTCCTCGTGGAACGAGGTGTACCGGTAGTTCGAATTAGGCTCTCTAATTCGAACTACCTACTCCGTGCCGCGTGTAGCCGCGGGCACGGTGTCCGCAGTAACGGGCATTTAAAAATGGCGGCGCCCGGCAAGATGCAAATGAAGCCCGGAATATTTAAATCCCGGGCTTCATTTGCAACTTTGAATGCCTACATTAGCCACTCTAGTTCGAACGAGGGTGGCAGTGCAGACATACCCTTAGTTTGAAATAACTTGGTAGTGTAGATATAGCCACAATTACAGCAGCAGAATTATCATAAACAGAATATTTTCCAAAGTTGTCCATGTAGTTAAAGGTAAATATATTTACAGCCATGAGGCACCATTGGGTGAATACAGATTCTGCATGAAATCCATGCATTCCTCACTGGCCACAGAAGACTCAAAGTACATCAGATTTTTCATGGGTCTATTGAATGGAATAGATGTTGGGGGAATAGAGGGTCTCTATTGTTCCCATTCTCTCCATGGATTGTGGATGGGTTGGAGGTAGAGTGATAGGGTACAGCTAGCTGGGCTATGATACATTTGAATACACTGACTAGAAACCCCACAATGAGGAGATACATGGAGCCTAAATTCATTTGTTCTGCACTCTACCTCTCACTTGAGATTCAGGGGGGTCATCTCTGTTCTTGTTCTCATGGGTCTCTCCCACAATGCTCATTTATTTGGGATTTGTGTAGCAATGTCATCTCCTTTTTAAAAATTCTTAATTAGATTTGGTTTTGTATTTTTCTTGATTTAAATATTAGTATTATAGTTCCAACTTCAGTGCAGTAAATTCAACAGAACAATTGTCATCAACCAGAAGTGTTCACAAAGTAAAAGACTACTTTCCTTGAGCAGAAGGTTGGGTTTTTTTTCACATTGATTAATACATTTGTGTGATGTAAATATTTTAAGGCAGACAGTTGCTTGGAAATAAATTTCAATGTCATGACAAATTCTTCTAACCCATTTTACTGCCCTCTTATACATGACAAAATTCAAATCCCAAACAAAGACACAAGGTCATAAATATGAAGATGTTTCTCACTCATTTCACAGGTCAAAACATGAATTTCATATGTACCATTTACTTAGCTATGCTGCTATGTTCATTGTCACACAGTTGAAGCTATTTTTAAAAAAGTTACCTTGAAAATACAAACTGCTTCAATTTAAAGAAAACTCTACAGAAAAGATATTTCTGTGCATGGCACTTTACATATAGTTGGTGTTACAACCAAAGCAGTGGACTAAAGAAACTGTTGAACAGGATTTGCCAAATCTCGGTCTCTCTAGTATTAAAAATGTTTATCTTCCAAATACTTTGTGGGGCATGGAAGGAATGATTTTCTTAAGAGTGGCGGAAGCTACAGAAATGCTGTCAACCGTGGTGCATCAAAATAGAAGATAGACACATGCAAAATCAGTTATTAACATGTCAGTTTTGCAGATACTATCAAAGTCTCTGCTGTGATCCTCCAGATTTTGTA